ACACTCCTCTGAATCAGAGACCTCGAACAGAAAACACATCAGCAGGGCATTGTGCATAGTATTGCATATAGTTCTCTTTGATCTACTGTAATGCGGGGAAATCATGCGAAATGAAGACTACAAATTCACCAGACAGTTGTATCAAACCTCGCTAATTTAGCATGCAGAAACACTTGATTGAAGTAATCTCTTGTTTACCAGGCGTAAAGGGTTTGAGCCTCTTCCTGCCAACAGAGACAAGCAAACCGGAACTCACTGTCTCATAGGTCACACTGCAAGTCGCTGGTGTTTTTTTTTTATGTTTCCGTGTGCCATTTCCACGATAATGGGACGTCGCGTACACGTGTACAGGATACGAAAGAACGGATTTTTGTTAAACCTTGTACTAGCATTCTACATTAGACGCCAAGCAAATTAATTAATTATGGTCAGTGTCTGGCTAATATGGCCCCTACTGAAACCCAGACGTACGACAGAATAGTCCACCTCGCTCCTTCCTTATGAACAATTCATAACACCCCAACCTTCGACCTTCACCTCCGTCAGACTGGCTTTACATAAGGTCGCTGCCTACCGCCCTAAGCGTCTCGGTGATTCTGTACTGTATCGAGGGACAGACGCTGAAGAACGCTGCTGTTGTGTGCGTGAATCGCTTTTAATTTCGCAAGAGCGAAACATCTGATGTAGCATTTGCGATGCGCTTGACCTGGTCGCCTCTAGTGATGCCGTTTCATCCCTACTCCATTGCTTTTTTAACACCTTCATCCCAAAGGAGACTCGCGACGTTCTTCTCCGAAAATGATCAGAGGGGTTTAGCAGAATTTAAACGCGCAATCCTGACTAACTGACAATCCGTTGTCTGGATCTAGTGGTTTTTTCAAAAAGACATAAATGTTAATGCGTAGTTGAAATGTCGTTTGTCACTCCACACGTTTCATCTCCGACACTATCCGTTAAATTTCTATGAAACCTCTTATTTCGGGAGTCAGGGTTCTATTCCAATTTAGAACAAGTGCAATTGTGTATGTAAAAGTCAAGTAAAACCGACTCCAGATTCAGATTAGTTCATTTTTTTTAACACTTTGAGAACATCTGTCAGATTTGATGATACATCGCACAAATTGTTATTAACATATATTTTAATTTTGCTATTTAATATCAATAAATACGTGCAGTAACTCAGATAACTGATAGACAGTCATTTAACAATTTCAGAATTACAGACAGTGTCTCAATAGTCCCTCAGGCCTACCGTTATTCCAAAATTTCCCCATCCTGCCTCAGAATAAAACTGTTCACTCATACGGATTATTTCCTGGAAGAACATTGTTCTCGTTCCCTTTTAAAATGACGTTTCTGAACGATTTTATCCCGCTTCTCTGTTACTAACTGAAATCCAATGCCGAAAGTTCATGGATTGACCTGCTGTCCGTTCATTTGTGTAACGCGATCTGAACTTCAATTATTTAAAACTTAGCAATGCAACACAACAGCATAATTATTACAGAGGATGAATTCGCCCCGCATTACACAGGATACTTGTTGTACTCGGTTGTCAAAGAGCTCGTATTCCGCGATTAAAACCACCTGTAAAAGATCTGTCAGAGATTTTTCATGTTCAATCTAATTAATTACTAATTAAGAAAGAATATGATGATGTAATGGACGCGTCCTGAGATGCTAATATTTCTACCAATAAATCTACAAGGCATCAAAACCTAGAAAATCATCATCGTTACCGCCGTGAAAACCTCAAATCTCACAAGTAATTAAGAAGTTTACAATTTAATATCATAACTGAAACGTCGGATAATACGATGATTGAAGATCACTGTCTTCAGGGATGTTGCGCAATGTAGTATGGTAGAAGTTTAACGACGTTTCAGACGTATTTGCTGCCTCCGTCATCAAGGAGAAGATGGAGGTAGCAAGCATCTGTTAAAACGTCGGTAGAATTCTACCAGACTACACGGCGCAACATCCCAGATGACAGCGATCTTCTTACTCGGCGCCGTAAGAACCTGAAATCTCACCTTTATTGGGTCTAGTTTAACGCGAAAGGAATATACCACTGCTGAGCTGCAGTACGCACTCTCTCTGCTAATACTCGATTGGTGATCGGAAGCTCCAGATAATCGAATAAGCTTAAGCAGACACTGCTAGTCTCTCGGATAGCTTGAATCAAGTTCATTAAGTAACGGGCTACACCGTACAAAGCTGAACCTGCATGGGTAATCAGATTTCAGCCTCTTCTCAGTGGAGCAAATGACAATCCATACAATTACTGTTCAGCCACTATACACATCAGACTCTGGGACCAGGTAGAGTCCGGCCTCAGAGGCAGACGGGTAGGGACCTACCAATAACGTGAGCGGTAAATTATGGTGGGCAGACAGAAATGAGTAACAAAATTAAAACCTAACAAACATACGAGGCGCGTCCACAAAGTAAGTTTCCCACTCGTCCCACAGCTAGCAAACCTTATATTGCGCGAAGCGACTGTGCGTACGTGATAGAGCAATGACGTAGCATGGCACATGCACTAACGGCACTTCCCGCGTTCTCACAGTAGCATCGTTGCAGCTGTTGAAGATGGAGGTTCTTATTCCAGCCCCCGCCGACTGTGAAGTGCGGTCAGTGATAACGCTAGGCCGCACACGACTCGACGGACAGCAAGTCTCCTGCAGAAGTTCAGCTGGGAGGTGTTTAATCATCCACCCTACAGCCCGGACCTCGCTCCCAGTGATTTCCATCTTTTCCTACACCTCAAGAAATTCCTGTCCGGTCAGCGTCAGCGTCAGCGTTTTGAGAATGACAGAGAGGCGGAGATGGTGGTCACACAGTGGTTCCAATCCCAGGCGGCAGACTTCTACGACACAGGTATTCAAAAGTTGGTCCCACGGTATGACAAATGTCTCAATTCCGGTGGCGAATATGTTGAAAAATAGCTGGACACTTGCTGTATCTGTTGCAATAAATATTTCCATGAAATTGTGTTTTGTTTCTGTAAACGGCCCCAGGGAAACTTACTTTGTGGACGAGCCTCGTATTTTGAAAAAGGCATTATTTTATATTTTTCAAGTGAAATTAATTTGTTATAAATAAAAATCCATCACTGCAGAGAAAGTCACGCAGTCATAAAACCTTTTTCTCTTTTTTTTCTATTCTAATTAAATATGAGCCACTTAAGGAATATTTTATATGGGCCTGACAGCTATTGATCTTATCGAGTTCGGTAATTTAAATAAAATATCAATATCTTGATTTATACGATTGGTCGTTGGGGACAGGCATATCGGAAGACTGAACTACAACTAAATTCCTATTATTATCTGTGACCTAAATGCGTTTTCAGCCATAAGAAAGTCTCCTTTCGTTTATGGAAATATAACTCCTTGAATCAAACAGAAAGCAATAATTATGTTTTAATTTGAACTGCTAATCCTATTTCAGCCTAGTAAGTCCGTGATTAAACAGACACATAAACACAAAAGGTAAAAAGAACTACTCTATTTATCATTGGAATCAACGTGACAGAAAGATCACATGGACCAGCAATGTAGAGGGACGATCGACTCTTAACTGCCTTTTTTTTTTTTGTAGTGTTCTGTCTGACGACAGGTCCATATGAACAGGATCCTTCCATCCTTTTCTCGGACTGGGACCTGTTCATATACGTTCTTGGCAGATGATCCAGAAGTGGTTTGCCATTGCCTTCTTCTGTGTGTGAATGGAGTAATTGTTGGGATGCCACGGAGAAACCGGGGAAGAAGCCCCCGGAGGAAAACTCCGTGTTGCCTAGACCACGGCCTTGCCCAACACAAGTTATAAATTCGGGCACCGCCGGGAATCGAACCCGAGACCCCAGGATTACAAGGCCAGCGTTCTAACCGCTAGACCACCGTATTGAAAGGAAATGTGTAGCTACGTTTATAAGCCGCGTAATGTGAATCGCAGTTACTTGTGCACGAGAAAAGTCATTTAAAATTTGATTTTCTTTTGCGAGCGTGTTTTTTTCTTTTTTACCGATGTTCCTCTTCCCTGAAGACGGAGAAAACACGCATCTCGCGCAGTTTCCCTCTATCGCCTACCGTCTCTGCCCAGGTAGAGAGGAATATCGGGGCTAGATGCTGCCGACAGTTCGCCCGCCACGTCTGATAACTAAGAGAGTCAATCTCATGTCCCGGCGTCCACTCCTAGTAGAAAGAAGGCGAGGTCAGTTCTTGTCTAAACAGCGAGCGGCGGCAATTTCTCTCAAGACCCTCAAAACGGCCAGAATATGTGAAGATTCCGAAGTACAGGATACGAGCGGGACACTCCTGACTAGTGTCCTCTATCGACAACATTGGAATTAATTCCAGAGGCGTTAATTGTTTAACATTACCACACGAAAATCTGTCAAAAATGTGAGATGTACATATGTTCCATGTCGTTTATATTCTATATTCAAATACCGGCCTATTTAAATATTTTTAAGTTCCGAGTTCTTGCGTTATGATGCTGCTCCAGCTGAACAAGTTATAGGGCCGTAGCGTCACATGAGATAGAAAGGTAACAATGAATAGCGAATGGATTGTTCTAATGATTAGGAAGTCAATTGTTTCGGTTTATTTTTTGGTATAATTTCATCATTTACCCAGACAGAGACAGCGATTTTATTATTAAATTATGTAACGAAGCTGTTTCAACTACAAAGACTACACGGTGTCGAAAAAGACAGAAAAGCGATCACTAATTCTGAGTATTTGGAACGATACTGCCTTGGTATACTTCAAGGTGGGTTTACTATTAATGCATAGAGAGATTAAAGTTTTATTTTTATGTTATTTAACACCGCTGTTTCAGTTCTAGAAATATTATATTGTCGAATGAGATTGCAAGGTTGTCATGAAGGGTAAGGATTTGAATCGTGGCTTTTACAATGGGCTACAGTCACAGCATTTACCTGTGTGTGCCTATCTGAAGTTCAAAATAGTGCGCCGTTATTGAAGGTCTCCTACCTTTAATCTTCCTGTTCTTCGCCTCCACATTGAGCAACGCGATGAGGATGACACTGACACCCGCTGCGCCGACGAACAGAAGCACGACCTGACTCGGAGTCTCAAAGCGGGTCATGGCGATGACACAGCTGGTGGGTGTCCCTTAGGGCTTAACTGCAGACCACCAGGTACCTGTCCAGTTTCCTCACTGCCTGCCTGCAGACACACAGGAATGCGTCTTCGTCCTGGCACTCACTTCACTCACTGACGTCACCAGACGTCAGTCCTGTTCTTGCTACCCAACAGATCTACTGAATGTGGTATTGAACTCAAAACCAGAGGGCCACAGTCCCTCCTCCACGGACTCTGCTCAAGGACTCGCCCGCCCTCAAACGCCAACCTGTAACGAAAAAAGGCGTCGTCGCTCATTGCATTTCCCACCTGACAATTAAAGGGAGGCGTATCTGCCTCCAGGGAAATTTTACTTATTACACGTTAAAAGTATTATTCATTTGTGTAAAGACTACGTGACGAATTAATGTACAAAACCCCTCGCGGGTCATCACATGCTTAAAAATTGCGTGACGAATTAATGTACAAAACAGCTCGCGGGTCATCACATGCTTAAAAATTGTGATAAAACCCAAAATTTCGGAGACATTTTTTCCATCATGACGACTTCGATTCTGATGATGGAGACAGAGTAGATTTTCGAAACGTCGATTTTTAACTCAGATTTGACGTTGCTGACCTAAATCTTAGTGGAGGGAGCTAGTAACAAATTTTGCAGTTCAGTAGTTCCAGACAAACAGACAAGACCTCTGAATGATGATTTAATTATAAGCACATTTGAGCATAAATAACGCCTACATAGATTCATTAAACATTATTTCTGTTTCAGATTCTTTTCTCGTGGCGATGAAAATGTCGATATCGGTCTTCTGGGCTGTGGACTTGCAGGTAGATACCGACGTTTCCTACATCTTCGCTTTTCGTTTTCACGGTTTTCCAGATTAATCCAGTGCTTGGTTTCAAACTAAGAAGGACTTTTCATGACAAACATTACACGCTAGAACAAAACTCTGGGCCTTTCGTGTGACTGCACTCTGACATTCTCTTCAGCCACTGGAGCGGGCTGTCAAACAATTTATGCTGGACTGGCCCTAACTACAGGACGTCTGTTATTCCTGTCGAGCCCAACGTAAACAACCGGGTTGTTTGCTCACGTTTATTGGTAACATTCTCATATGGTTACTCCCCGGGGAAAATCACGTACCGAGGAAAAACTTAGACGTTTGTACAGTAAAATCTTCAATTTCATGCGTGTGTGTCCGAGTGTACAAGACTGGAAATTAGTGCAACAAAAGTGTAAATTCAAGGAGATTGGTTTTCATTTGTGTATTATAGACCACAAACATTTCCGGTAAATAAAGGTGTTTATTTAATCCAGATTCCGTTTTAGACGGCTTTTACTACAGCAAATAACAAGAAAGCAACAGCTCTCATTCTTTCCATTCCTATAATTCTCTCCTCTAATTCAGTCGGTAGCTAACTCGATCTCGTTTCCATTCCTGAGTCTTATGAGAGTACCCGGGATTGCGCCAGTTTCTGTCCGTATCGTATAAACTCCCGAACAAAACTTCCTGCAATATCGATTTTCGCCTCATTAATCATTACAGAGCTCGATAATTTTTATCTGTTCTTATCGCTGCCGCTTAAAACTACGAGCAACAACGTCTTTCAGTTATCATTAGGCCTATACCTTTTCTCTAACATTAACATAAATCTGTGATTTTAACACTTCAAAGTCCAGTAGTAACTTTATATACCACGTGCTTTATATCAAATAACTGCATTTTCCCCACAGATTGCAATTATGGGTTTCGTATGATTCTCGTAATAAACAACAACTGCTTCCTCAAACAGCATTAAGCAGTTGATCTTTGTAATGGCGAAGTACTATTTTCTTCCCGGTACAAAATAAATTCTGAAATATTACTTAGACAAGCTTCGGCTTCAAAAAGCCAAGTAAGGTCTATTTATAGACGTCATCCTGTCGAATTTAGTAGACTAATTTTAAATTTTAAATTAAACCTGTATGTACTTTATACCGGTATATGTGTGTATACATAGGGACTACCTATGCATGTACGATGAGAAGGGTCCTTCCTGAGAAGCTAACAGTCTCTCATCAGTCATAAAATTCCCCGCCTCTTCCGGAAACCGATGGTTCATTAAGCGGATCCACCTTTAGATTTTAAAAATTTTGAGTTAAATACCTTAACTCTACGTTCATATGAAATTGAAAAATATTATTTTAATACTGCGCCCATCTCACAGCCCTAAAGGCGAGGCCAGTCACATGAATCAGTACGGAAAAGACACACGTCTACATAATAATATAAGATGCATGTAGAATATGATAACACACACCAGTAAGTACGTACAATTACACATGACACGACCTTCCCACAGGTTCACAGAGAACTAAAATTCATTTTTCACAACGCTTACTTGGATTTATTTAAGGGCGCTGTGAGTAGCTCTGTCTATATAACGTCGAATGCTATTAAGATTAATGACAATTAAAATACAAAGAGCATGGAAGGAAGCTGTCATTGCCTAAAGTACTGCCCAGTAATTTCCGTATGAGATTGAGAGGAAAATGACTAAAAAATCTCAGGATAGCAGGTGTGTGGACCGAGATCTGAAAGCGGGATCTCCGAAATAAATAAAGAACACGAATGAAAGAAACAAAAGAGAAATGTTACGTAAGTAAACTTAAGTAACAAAATGTTATAAAACACACACGCAAAAAGTAATACTACTAAATCAAATATTCTGGTTATTTTATAATTTGGTGATAACAAAATATACAACTGTATTTTGAATATTGTAGCTTTCTACTTCGTAACTGTGTTATAATTATGTGTGTCACAAATGCAAACAATAACTGCAGAAAATTCGGTAAGTACACCTATAGACTCAGTTAAAGAAATGCATGGAAAGTGTAGACTTAACTTTCGACATCATTTGTACAGTAGGCATCCTTGATTATTGTCGCTTAAGGGCAGAGACATACTCGGCTTTCTAAAAAAAAAATACATAATTTTTGAAAAATAAGTTAATAAATTTATGTCTTCGTCTACTGGTACATAATTTTTGAAAAGTAACTTAATAAATTTATGTCTTCGTCTACTGGCGTAAAAGTAATTTCTCGTTATGGAATATTGTGATACATTGTAAAAGAAATATTTCAGCATTCAAATGATCTTCCCGTTTCGGATCTTTTTACAGATTCTTATAGTTGCATATATTATATTAAACTTCGTATTGTTGATAGCAGGTTGTATGAGTACATACCTCTTCGAAATAAGAAATTTTCTGATGTAATTAACATAACTCCATTCACAGACCCACCGATAAAGACACGCAATGAAACATCATAAAAATCACTTGTGATATTATTTCAGAGTCGGTGTAAAGAAATAGCGGCTGAAACTGCCACATGTTCGTTCGACAAGAAGACGAGCGCAACTGTTGACATTTCGTTACTTTCGTCCAGCCTTATTCCCGCTGAAAACCAGCGCATGCGTAATTGTGTCTTTGCCATTTGCACAGCGCACTGTTATAGAATGCATTAATTAAACTACTCTTAAAGACATCTTCACGTTTAAAAGTACGATGTTGTCTGTTATATATTACAAGAGCTGTTATTTATGAGATTTCAAGTTTTCAAGGCGGCGAGTATGAAGACGGGCCCTGATGATAGAGGCAGCAAGCATATCTGAAACGTCGGTAAACTTCTACGAAAACCCACGGCGCAACATCTCAGAAGACAGTCATCTTTATCTCTTACTTTAGTCGATAGTTTCGTCAATATCGAAAATAAAACAAATCTATATTCGTTTTTTACAATCGAATGGTAAATGTAAAAAATATATCAAATATTCTTACGTCTTGTCTGGCTTCATATGTAAATCAGTGGCCAATCCCATTATAGAAAAGAGTTCATGCTGAGATGAAATATTATTAGATCCCTGCTACAATCACACCACACTGTTAAGATATTTGAATAATACTTCCAATAACAACAATATAAATAAGACACCATATCCATCTATATGATTTTATATTCTAGAATAAAGTGAAACATTTGTTACCATGAATGTTTGTATGTGTAATATGTGTCTGTGTAACACATGTACATACCATATGAGAATTCCATTTTGTGAGTCACTGATAAGATAGTCACCACCACATTTCTTTCTTTCTTACTCTAAACTTAGAAAACTGCATCCACACAGTTAGGATACTTTCGGTTGATGTCGCCACTGTGTTGAACTTCATTCTGATTGACGTCTCGGAAATCGAATAAGTCAATAATCGATAGTATGTTCGATAAGTTCCACGGAATATTGTATATCGAATTTACTCTACGTTTCACATCTGTGACCATAATATATGTTCAACAGTGAAAGATATACTGCGCCTGAACGAAGAGGTGTTACATAATACTGCACCAAGTACTGAGGTTATTCGGTATCTAACTAGATAACTTAGGAAACCCCAAGTTCATCACCGAATTAACCAAAGCTCTCCACTGGTCCCTGCCCTGGGCCACCAAATTCAATTGCCTTCAACTCCTAATTCCCATAGATTATGCTTGATATTATCCTCCCATCCACCTCTAGGTCTCCCCTGCGGTCTCTTCCTTTCAGGTTTCCCGGCCAATACCCAGTGCTCACCTCTTGACCCATTCATGTGCCCACATACCCAGACCACCTCATTCTTCTTGACTTAATTGCTCATCATTATGCAGGTTTCTCCGTATCCCATCCTCTTCTCTCCTAGGCCAAAATATCCTCCTTATTACCCTATTCTGAAACAACTTCAGTCTATGTTCCTCCCTGTGAATAAGAGACCATGTTTCACATCCATACGAAACAACAGACGAGTTATTCAGTATCAGTCATCCATAAACACAAGACAATATTCAAATAAATGGGTAAAGAAAGGGAACTCTCAGTTAAACCTGTAACTGGCTACAGTGAAAGTGCATGAGGTGCTAATATGATTGTTTATGGGTCAAAAGCCATCCTGTTACATGCCAATGTTGGCACTTAGTGGAGAGGAGGTGTAGCTCCTACTCATTTTTGACCTCAACACTAGAAGGGGGTGTGTTGTCAGCAGCATGCTTTACCCCCAGGAAAGGACCCCAGTACTCATTGGATGGGCCCCAGAGGCAGTATGGATGAAGAGGCTGGAAGATAATCCTCTACCTCTGTCAGGGATTGAGCCCCGATAGCCCAGCCCATAGCTAGTCACTATACTGACTCAGCCATGCTGGCTCACATTTATGGGGTAGTGGTTTATATAATGGAAAAAAGAGCAACTTAACATTCATGAAACTCAGACACCACTGATAGTATTCTATAAGGTCTTCAGGAATTTGTTACAGGTAAAAATATTCAGTTCATAGACTGGCACCAGTATGTCACAATTTTGATCTATTTTTATCAGTACACTATATCCTATTTCTTAATAAATTTTGTCCTCCTTCTTAACTGTATTTATTTGGAATCACAACCACTTATGATATGTGTCAGTGAGATTATTTTCTAATGTAAACCACCCTAATTTGTATTTCCTTCATCCTACTTGCTGTCATAACTTGCAGTACAATATCCTAACAGTATGTTGGTGTAAGATTAATGTAAATTTCCTGGTTATTATCCATTGTCACCTCATCCCCTACAAGCCACTTTTCAGTAACATGGAAACTTCTTTCAATACCTCATTAACCATGCAGGTTACAACATTGACAATAACATAACCTAGCTTCATTGACCACAAATCTTTGTGGAAAAGCAAAATTTTAAAACTGGCTAATGACATTGAGTGAACTTCTTCCACAAAGTGTACCTTCAAACATCCCCATAATATATTGGCACTTTAATTTGTTAATGGTTCCTATAATTTGTGCAGTATTTACTTGATTGACTCAGTCATGCAGAATGGCTCAAAGCCATGTAAAGTTTAGAAATATAACTGATATGCATGGGTTTAGATGAATAAAAGTTTTTACCCCTAGGCCTGATATAGGAAAGAGGGGAATTACACATCTTCTGGTTTTACATGAAAAATATTTTAAGACATTTTTGGTATTCCTTTATATAAATCTGATGTTGGCTAAAAAAAATATTTCCCCTTTAATATCGGTGGCAAGTTCATGGCCTGGGTATTGCGGTTGGAGTTGGTCACTTACAGACCCAAAGTCTCAAGATCCTTACTTTATGAGTTAGTGAATCCGGAATAATATGAAAATACTATTCATTTTGCAGCTTACCTGCAAAACTAATAACAGAATCTGCATTAGGCAAAATTTTGAAGTATAAAATCAATTTGGTTCAACATGTTGATAGAATGCAAAGAACTAAACTTGCCAGACTATTAAAAATGTATAAAAAATGTGGATTCAGAAACCAAAGATTACATTTAAACAGGATGATTGTGGCCAGATCTGTTGAACAAGTAGCCTAACTTTTTGACTGCTGGATGATGATGATGATGATGATTTTATTGAACTTGTTAGAATAGAATAGAATTTATTTAAATTCCATACATCCTTCATAGGCCTAAGTCAAGGATGTAGAACAGGTCGTAGCACAAATACAATACTTGTTTCTATTACAGATATAAATTACACAGTTATTACAGTAATTTAAGTCAATTACAGTATTAGTGCAAAAATAATTATACAAGAAAGCATGGCGTGGAATACAAAGGTTATATTGCCTTGAGGCAGTGATCCCCAACGCGGTGCCCGCGGGCGCCCCGCCAAGGCTTTTTTGGGTGCCCGCGTTGATACGGAAAGAGGTTATACTGAATAATGAAGGCCGTTCAACCATGAACATTATAAAATCAAAGCACAGATCTATACTTACTAATGTCCATCTTGACGATTGTTTGCGAGCAGCAACATCATCCTACACTCACAACTTTGAAAAACTGGCCGATGAAATGCAGTGCCAAACATCGCACTTGAGTAATAATAATTGTACTTATAAAAGTACGTATTTTTGATCGCGTGGTTTCTTGTATCATTAAACGTCGTGTTGTTTTGCGTATTATTTGGTGTCCAAATCTTATTTGTCCAGAGAAAAGAAAATTTGGCTTTGTTAATTGGTTGGTGCCCGCCACGATTGTATAAACTCTCAAATGTGCCCGTAGGCACAAAGAGGTTGGGCACCACTGCCTTGAGGTTTCACTTTTAAATTTGCCGCTTGCATGAATCGATTATCAACGAGTAATATTTCCCTTCTGCAACTCTTACAAATTGTGACATCTCGTGGCGTGTTGTGTTTTCATGGCCTTCATCATTTTATCAAACGATAAGTTTTTCATATCTTATGTGCTGCCATCTGCGGACAAAGCCACGTCATTGTTGAGGGTGTTGTGAACGCTGTTAATTTACTTTGAAAATGAATATATTTCGACTTCTTGGGGATTTATCCCACCTTTTGGCTATCGTAGTTCTATTACTGAAAATATGGAAAACAAGGTCATGTGCAGGTAATATCAGTTTGGTATTTATACAGCACAAATGTCTGCTGTATTGTAGCCGGTAATTGTAGATTTTGGCTATTGTATACGTTACACCCCACTTTAAATGAACACTGATAAATATATGTAGTTGGTGAATGAAAATATGATTAAAATTAATTTTTTGTTGTGTCGTAATTGAGGGTAATGTATTGTACAGTTTCAAATTATTGTTTAGGTCTTAAAATTTAGGGTCACTGACACAAAATTGTAACCTTTGAGTACTGGGCCATGTTACAAACTTGCCTTTAGATTGAATTTCATGTCCTTGTATGTTTGTTACTTAAGCCTTTGTCGTATTCGTGTTTCAAACTGTGTTTGTTTGCAGGTATATCAGGAAAATCACAAATACTTTTTGCACTGGTTTATACAACACGGTACCTGGATCTTCTCACATCATTTGTTTCAGCATACAACACAGTTATGAAAGTCATATTCGTTGGTGCATCTTATGCTACTATTTATTTGATGTACCTCAAATTCAAGGCAACTTATGATCAGAATCATGACACATTTCGGTAAGGAAAAACCGAAATCTTACTTTAAAGTTTATGTGAATGTTTTATTAAAGAGAACATCATATTTCTTGATTTAAATAGAGTGATTGGGAAGATATGCACCAAGAAATGCTTATTAGGTTTGAATAAAACTAGTGGAAAGTCTCTCCTACTTTTGTACAAAAAATACAATTACAATGTGAATTCTTATTCATACACATCTAATATAGCCATACAACAAGGAATTCTCCAAAAGAAAGTTTACCTAACCTAATTTAACATACCAAGCTTAAAAATTGGAGGATCACTTGTTTGGTGTAAAACCACTCCTTGGAGCATACAGGTTGGTGGCCCATGTATGCAGTTATCTGCTACTTTTTATTCATCCTCTTAATGTAAGTTGGTAGGTGGTAAAAATGATTGTTATGGCTTTTTGGCAGTTTTATGACCGTGAGAGATAATTTTTTTTCTCACACAGTGATGGTGTGAAAATTACATTTTTTTTTGTCCAAACATTGGGTGTGTATGTATGTGTGTGTGTGTGTGTGAATGAATATGGTGCAACATTTTGTATGTGTGATATGACTATGACAGCTTTGTGTGAAAGCAAGACAGTATGTATGTATTTTATGGTAATATGCAGTGTTTTGCTTTTAGGATTGAGTTTTTGATTATTCCAGCTGTGGCACTGGCTCTTCTCATCAATCATGAGTTCACAGTTCTGGAGGTGAGGTCTAAATGTACATGTACTTGTGGTACAGAAATATTAGCAGGAGATAAGAGTACAGAGGATGCACACTGGTCATAGACTTGGTAGCAGTGAAAATTCTCTTCATAATGATTTTTATGGGGTCATGTAATGAAATTGTTACCAGTCTATGGGAAATTAAATTTTTACCCAAAGTATTTGATTACATGTTGTGTGTGGTTGTTTTACTCCACATCTGTCTTCACAATATATGTAATGCAGTGAAGAGACTATAGCTTAATGTGAACTGTGGCTTCTCATATTTCAACAATACAGGCTTCAACTAATATGAAGACTTTGTTTTGATCGTTGCCTGAAAATTTCTGCATCTACTTTAAATCCTTTACAAAAGAATCAGTTGCTGTTCATGGGCATGGATTTGTTGTAACCAACACTAAAAATTATCATATTGAAAATTAAGTTCACTCAGCAACTTAAGGCTAAGATTTTCACAAATTCAGAACTGTAGTAATATACTAGATAATTTCTTTTAAGTAACTATAATACAAACCAAGCAAAAAATGTGCCATGGACCAACGTGCCTTTTTCATGACCTCTAATTTTTGTACACCATTGTCAGTATGGATTGTTAAAAAAAAATTTATGGAGAATTTGTAATTATTTTTAAGATATTTTGAAATTTAAAGGTTTATATTGTTAATGGTAGTATCCTTACGCATGTTTATTGTCTAGCTTTCTGCAGCAAGATCTTGTTGAATATTTATTATAGAAAAATGGTTCTTTAACCATTTTTCACATTTTGTATAGTTTGGACAGTTTTTTGATTGTGCATTGGTTCAACCCAGGAACTTCTAAAGTTAAGGAAGTGTAAGTGTCCATGAAACAGATTTTTCTCTTGCACATTTTGCAGTGTGGTTATAAGGCAATGGGACTTAAAACATTTGATGCACAAAAGAACGGATTTCATTCCTTTTACTTACTGCATCAGAATCGTTGCAAGTTGCATCTAACAGTCCAGAAAGATGTAGAACTCAGAGTTGCTAGGATACATCTCTGATATGTTATCTATACTTTCTGATATGCATTTAATATTGCAGGTGTTATGGACATTCAGTATCTACCTTGAATCAGTGGCTATCCTGCCTCAGCTGTTTCTAGTGTCAAAGACTGGTGAGGCAGAGAGTATCACATCACATTATCTGTTTGCTCTTGGCACATATCGTGCCCTGTATCTTCTCAACTGGATCTACCGTTACTACTTTGAGAATCATTATGACCTCATCGCCATTGTAGCTGGAGTTGTGCAAACTGTTCTTTACTGTGATTTCTTTTACCTTTACATTACTAAAGGTGAGTTTTGTGTGAACTTATCCTATCATCAAATGTCTCAGTGTGAAAGTTACCCTAACACACATGAAACACCCCCCCCCAACAAGTGCTCTCTATGTCAGTATGGCAAATCTGCACATTGTGTTTCACTGGCTCACATTTTGTTGTTCTGTTGATATGATGGGGCAGTACTATGTCTCTGGAACTGTGACTCCTAATGGGCTTATTGTTCATCCCCTAGATCAGCGTTTCTCAACCTATGATACATGTACCACTGGTGGTACGCGAGCTAATGTTGAGTGGTGTGCGAACTAAGTAAGAAAATAAAAAGATAATATTAACATAAATAAATTGTCCTGAACTCATTTAGTTAGTGGTACATTTGGTGTGTTAAATTAAAATTAGTGGTACACCAGTGAAAAGGGGTGAGAACTTCTGCCCTAGATAATACAAGTGAATGTGAAGCATAGTTCCAGTTCCTCCTGCTAAATATGTAGTTAATACCACAAACCTTTCCATCTCTCCACATTCACATCATACTGTTTCTTATTTGGTGCTGTACACTTCTGCATTGGCTAGAAAATGGTTATCTCCTCTGACTTTGCAGTAAGTAGGCGGGGGAAGCTCCACACATTCTTAATTTTGGTACTTAATGGATGTGAATTTTCAGTTTCATACACTGCCTTTTCCATGCATAGGCAGTGTACAGTGCTAATGGACAGGAGTACAAATTGATCATATACATTCTGAAAATGACAGTGAATTGTAAAATTCTCACTGCACATAGTTAAAACAAAATCACAGACGTCCAATCCATAGTAGTTTTCTTCACTGACTGAGCTACTGCAGCAGTTATTTGAATTCCTAAAATAATTAAAGATATATGGAAATATCAACCATGTGGTCAGTAAATGTGTTTGAATGTACCTTCCTAGATATAGGTATTTTTCCTGTTTTGACAAATTTGGAATCAAAAAGGTGGGTGAATTTTTGATTGGTGAGAGGCAGAGCTATTAGATTGCTTCCACTTAACTTGTAATGCTAAGAATATATCAAGACCAATTGCTGCCTCCATCATCAAGGTGATGAGTTATTGCCTTGTTGATGGAGGCAGCAAGGACCTATAAAATGTTATTTAACTTCTACCACACTACACACTGCTACAACCCGTAAGACAGCCATCTTCATACTTGCCACTATGAAAACCTCATATCCTACTAATTTTTTTATACACATTTTATTACTTTTATAGCATTATTTATGTAAATATATTTATTCCAGTTAGATTTTCTTCCCTAACACTACATTTCACTGTCTTCAAGTGGGTAGCTTGGCAATTTACTGTACTTTCAAATAGAAGTGTACAGTATCAGTAACAAAGCCTGGATGATGCTGATTTCTCACTATGTGGCAGTTGTTGCTGTGGCACAGCTGTCATGTGTCCACTCGTATTATCATTGCATTTTTATAATGTTTCAGTTCTGAAAGGAAAGAAGCTTCAGCTACCAGCTTAAATCCAGTGTAACACTGGGTACAGTGTGAGCTGTGGGTTCAGATGAAGTAAGTGCTTCAGTAACTGTATGACGGAAAGTGAGTGTGGAAGAAGGCTTCATGTGTGTTTTGTATGATTCTCTGAACTTTTTTTTTGTGCTCAACTTCCAAACCATCTTCATGTAATAATGTTTTGTTTTTAATTTAATATATTTACTCAAGTACCACACTATTCTTTCTTTTTTAGTTTTCCAAACTGGGATGTGATAGAGACCTGACAACATTTGCAAAGCAAAGTCGATTTGTTACATTCTGTACAGAAATGACGATTATCAGGTCTATGGCCTTTTGCTTTGCATATACAATTCTTTTGTTTTAAGGAGGGATTATTGGTCTGCATTTGTTTACAATTGAATAATTTTGAAATGTTGGCTCTGAAATCAAACACTTAAAAATGTGATGTAAATACTTGTTAATTTAAATTAGTCTTAATCATGTATGTACTGTCTCAAGAAGGAAAAATATTTGGGTTCAGCAACTGAAACTCAATACTCACATGTCAGAACTTAATTTTTTTGGGTGTCTGTCTTGTCTAGGAATGTAAGGAATTTTTTATTACTTGAAGTATCGGCAAGTGTATGTGTTTTTAATTTACTGCTGATGTCTTCTTGCTTTTGGATTGTAATACCTAAAGATTCTTGAGAGAGTTTAATGAATTAAATATGAAGGGGATAGAATGAAGCTGATGCCATAACATTCAACTGTAAATGTGGGAGTCTTAAGTGCTATTCCATTGTACTTATAGTGTGTTCAGGCTTGTAAAACACATAAGAGTACTGCCTGCATCTGAACACTTTGTAATATTTTGTCCTTTAGTTTCTGCACTTGGGGGATAGGCTTTATAAAATGTTGAAGGTTTTCCATTGCTTAAGCAGATATTTCAGATGCCATCTTCAGGATTGATGTCTTTGGCACCTTAGGAAGTATTCAACAGATTTTACAGTGGAGAACGAGTTGAAGGCAAAAGACATGATTGAATTGTGAACTCCCTTCTGGATAGTATCCCACCTCAGTGTTCCTCCACCACCTTCCACCTATCTCTGCCTTATCATTATAAGGGCTTCCTAATCCACCTCTCCACCAAAGACATTCACCCTGAAAGTTTGCTGAAGCATTTTAAAACCTTCAGCATTCAACATGGCTTATCCCCAAAAGTGGGAGTTATTCATTACGCAATACTGTAATGCTTTATAAAATGTAATTACAGTTACTAGTCACCCTTCCTTCTCTGACTAAGCTTCCAAAAGTGGGAAGAATTATCACATGGGGAATGTGAGGTATTGGAGTAAATATACTTTGATTGGTACTCTTCAGGTGTGATACCACATAACGACAGTTTGAACTATGGTATCTGGACACTTTGCTCACAAAAATCAATTCAATGTTTGCATTTTAATATGAGCATTTATCATTCTCAGACCAATGAAAGAAAAGGTTCTGTAAAACTCTAATATAAAAATCTTTAAAAGAGTTTGATTTGAAAGTTTAGCAACATGATATAATTTATAAATTAAAACTGTATGCTGTTATTTACATTGTTGTAAAATGCATGAAATAAATAGTCATACTTTTACATAATTTGTACAGCAGTCATTCCTCATTGATTTGTTAAAATCTTTTAAATTTTACCAGCTATAGCTTTATTTTTGTTTAATATAAGGAACAGAAACAGTTTGAATAAAGATTAATTTAGCATTTGGGATTTTTGTGGGTCATTTTATGTGTTGTAGTTGGGAGCTGCATGTGCACATGAAGTTTCGCTAGGTAGTAGTGCTGTGTTACTTGCTTGTAAAGTGGTTTCTGTGTAGAAATTATGATTCTTGCCTTTTACTTGAGTATTTCAAATCAGGAATTGTGTAGTTTAAAACTAATGCATAATTAGTACAGATACAGTAACTGATATAAAGATACACAGTTGTTCTTAGTTTCTAAGCAATGACTTGTGTATTTATTCATTCAACAATTGGGGTTTAATATTCTGTAAAGAAAATGTTTATGAGACTTTAAAACTAATTTTGTGTACAAAGTTTACCTGTTGTAAATTGCATCTACTGGTAAGTCCCTTACCTCCCCTGTGTCCTCAAAGATGTTAGTAAATGCATTAAATCTTTTTGAATTAGCATCATTTAAAAATATGATAACATCTTACCTTCATAAGCTTTCATCATGTTTGAAGTCCTGACAACGAATTTTAAGTGTAATCTACCGCCGTCAAAACCCTTTAGAAATGAAGTATGTATTTCTGTTATGTATAGTGATTATTTCATATGACAACTTATAGGTTAGGGGTTGAACTACTGCATCAGAATTTTCCCTCTTATTAATCTGATATGTCATGTCATATACCTGAATGGCAAGTGACTTAAGTAGTTGATACAAACAGTATGTCTAAACTTGTTGGCATGAGTATTCCATACACATATGAGTACCATGTTTACACAAAGGAAGAAATTTTTCCACCCAAATTTTACTCTGCCATAAATATGTTTGCTTGCAGTATCCAGAGTCATCATATTTCCTAAAAACAGAACATCATATGGAGGTGAAGCAGGATAACATGAAACTGACCACTCACCTCCCCTATTGAGGTTACAATTATGTGAACCTTTATCCCACTCTTCCATGTCTTCATGGCATAATGCTTAAACACAGGGATATCTACTTACTTTAGCCAAATTAATAAAAACCTTTATTGCCCATGTGGTTGTGGCTTGGTACACAGTCAGCTGGCTTTGTGTCAGAAGCATGTTGCTAAACCATTTCACCCCAGAGTTTAGTCTGGTTGGCAGTCCCATAGTACAAGTGTTAAAATCCCCTGTTCTTGGATGGTAAAGGTTAATGGCAACAGGACCTTGTTACATGTGACTTTCATCATTCATCAGACATTTTGCATGGACTGTTCCAGTGTGATATTACTTTTAATGCTATAATCTTATATAAAGATGTTACGTCATTTAAAATTTGGCTATGTGTTGTTTACAAATTTACTGAGGGATGAGAAAAAGAACCATTAAGGCAAAAATATTATGTGTGTGTGTGTGTATGGTTTAGCTTTCAATCTGTGAACTTCACTAGTATGATGACAAGTAGTGTGAAGTGGGCATCATTTTCATTTCCTCTTACAATTAAATATTTATTTTAGTCAGCCATTATTATATTATATGTGTGCTGATAAGTTGTAGCAACATGTGATAAATGTAATTTTTTATATATCAAAGTACTTCACTGCTTGCATCTTAAGGGTACAAATGAGGATTATCACACCTGGATAGGTGAGTTGTGTACAGTGAAAGGAATAACCTTCGACAGATAAAATGAAACAATTAGGGTTCTGATTAGTAAAAAGCAAATCAGTTTTTATACTTTCTCTGCTTAATTATTTGCACTGATCTACTGCTGAATATAATTTATAACCACTGAAAGAGAAACAAGCAATGTAAGGTAAAAACTAAAAAAAAAACATTTTGTAAATTTTAAGCTTTTTTAAACTAATATTTCAATATTTAAAACAATTAATTGGAAGAGAATGAAAATAAAAACAAATTCTTATTTGAAATCATGAATAAGGAGCTCTGTTGTAGTATCCTTGCTGATCCCTAATCAAGAATGCCAAAATATTTAAGTAAAAATGCAAAGAGTCATTGAAGGTGTAGAGGACTAAAATCTTAAGAAGTATGTAAGGGCAGGCCAGTAACTGAGCATACAGCCACAGTCAATGTCTCTTCTTCCATTTCTGTATGTAATTTCAAACTACAAGAGAGTTCTTACACAGGACACAATCCCAAATGCATTTATGTAACAAAAGAAAAGGTGAACTTCAATTACATATTACATCTTGTTGTGTGCCTCCTGTAGTATTTAGATAGTTATGTATCATCACTGCTTAATAAAAAATTCATGTCATAATGAGACTGTGAGTCTCTTATGACCTAATACATGTTATGTATAAAATGAAAAAAGGTATGATATTGAAATAAACCTGTGTCATTATTTTCATTGAAACAATGCAAAATGTTTAGTTAATAAATCATTTTTGTAATTCTATGAGGTCTTGTGTTTTCATGTTTCTTTTGTCTAAAAGTACAGCTATGTTCAGAAGTCAGTAATTTTTCAGCAGCTTCTCAATGTATGTTGTCAAGTCAGTCACATGAACTTGTTCCTGCAAATGAAGATTGAAGCAGCGTTAGTGACTACTTGATACAGTAAAAACACATCCAATCAGTATCTCATAATTCAGATTATATAATTTGAAGTTGGTAACATTCTCCTATTAGAAGATATAAATTTTTTTTCCAGTGTGAATAATTTCAAATTGTATTAGTGTGCAACTTCTTGAAGTTATTGTTTAACACTGTGATAAGACCTCATTAAAAATCTGAGGTAACTGTGATTAAGTGCAATGAAGTTCTTTAAGATGATCAGTTGTGTCAATGTGGAGTAAAATGACTTTTCAGAGATTCTCTGCCTACATACAAGACTTTTTCAAGCTACCAAGACTCACCTTTAGGGTAGTGTCTCGGCTTCGCAGGCCAACAATTCCATTCTTGAGAGAAGTATCAT